TGCCCTGGAGATGGGCTCATGTGGAAAGACATGGAAACTGCTTATTTAAAGAGGAGAGCTTTCCAGCACACAGCAGCCAGAGCCAGCTTCTCAAAATCCAAATCAATGGCTTCTCTTTGCACTTTCAAGAAAATCCCAATTCTTGCTGTGACCTCCAAGGACCCATGGGATTGCACTGCTGCCTGTCTCTCCGACCTCATCATATACAGAGCCTTCCCTCATTCATGCCTTCCCACCACACTGAATTTCTTTCAGCTCCTCGGACACTTCAGGCACATCTCACTTCAGGGCCTTTGCACCTACTTTCTGCCAGATTTTTGCGTCACTCATTTTCATCATTCAGGTTTCTACTCAATGTCAACTCTCAAGGAGGCCACTACTATTCACCCTGTTGAAAATAGGGTAGACACTCCATCTCCATGCTTTGCTTTGTAATATTTCATCAGTAGCACATACCACTATCTAAAATGATCTTACTTGTATATTTCCATATTTAAGGTGTGTTCTCCCTGTTCCTGGCTCTTCCCAACTGGGATGTGAGCTTCTTAAAAACAAAGTCTTTGGTAATCTTCTCAGGTGTATCCCCAGCATCTAGAACCATGCCTGGCACATCGTAGATGCTCAAGAAATATTTGTTGAATTATTAAGCAATGTGTGAAAGAATTATCCCACTCCGGCCTGCTAGAATATAATTTATCATAGGGTGTGTTCAGAAGCAGAACAAAGCTTCTTTCATCTCTGGCCTCTCCAAAGGCAAAGGTAGTCAACACAGAACCCTAACTTTTGAGAGTTTATGGAGGGGGTGGTCCCTGTAACGTTCTTTTAGAGATGGGGAATACTATAATAAATTCAGTCTCCCATCTAACAAATATTTATTGAGTCCATGCAGTATGCAAGTTCAACTCTGGCTTCTGACAAAGAACAATGAATAAATGGACAAAAATCTCTGCACATGAGAGTGCTGACATGGAAGACGTAGTGGGTTTTTGAAGCGAACACAGGGCTTGGAGTCGGAAAGGCCTGAGTCCTAGGTCCTATGTCACCGTATACTAAAAGTTTGCATAAGGAAGATACCTGGCCTCCAGGCATCTCACTTTCCTCCTCTGTAAAATGAACATAAAGCTGACCTCATGAGATTATTGAGGGTATTCAGTAACTGCTGTACCCCTGGCATCTAGTACGTGGTGATTGCTATTGAGATGATGAATGTAGGGCCCTGGGCAAAAGGCATGAATGAATGAAATTTTCTTTCCTTCCACTTCCCCTTGTGATTAAACATCTCATCATATGCTTTAGAAGATTTAAAGTGATCTCACACCACAGAGCCACAAGCACAGGCTCCAACCAGGATCAGAAGGTGTTAGTTTCAAATGAAGAGTGTGTAATGAATTCAGGCTCCTCTTCAAGCCTTGATTCAAAGCAGCCTGTGCTTCTGGCCCCTCATCTGTGCTTGAGAGCTGATCTGTCATTAAGGCCCACAGCGTCAGGCAGGGGCGCACACGGCTGACTCTGCTGGAGTTGCCATGTTGTACAGATGGAACATGTCAGGGCACGCCCAGCTTATGCAACATCCAAGTGGCATCTTTCTGTTTTCCTGTGATGTGCCTTTGACATGTAGCAGGCCACATGAACCTTCTGGATCTGTGCCCATCAAGAATCTTCTCAGGAAGGAAGGTGATTTGGTTTATTCTATTGCACAGCAGGATTTCCTGGGTAACCAAAGAATGTCACTGCACGCAAAGACAGACAGAAACTTCCTAAAGCCAAACAACTGGGGAACTAAGTTTTAGAGGAAGACAGTTATTTTTCATGCTTCTGAACAATTTGGGCACTATGGTCACTTTTCCTACCTGGTAGCAACTGTTCCTGAATCAAAGAACTCTCCCAGCATGCTTTGCTCCAAGAGGCACACACTGGACTTAACTGAACAGCAGCACCTTAGGCATGTTGCTAACCAAAAGCATGTTCAGTGGCAGAGGCTCTTAGCTCTATATCCCAAGCTGTGATGGGGAGCGCTTGATGTGTTCATAGTCATGGGTAGGCAGAGTCATCATTTCCTCTGTCCAGGTCAGGAATTTCAATGAGCTAATCTGCATAGCTTCTCTGGACTTGAGTCAGCAACAAGACAATACTAATAATAGCTGCTATTGTCGAGGGCTTTCTGCATTCTAAGTTCTTTACACAAATTATTTGAATCCTTACCAAAACCATGTGAAGTAAGGCATGTTTTTACCTCCTACAGATGAGGCAACTGAGGCGCAAGACACTGCTCGAGGTCACAAAACTAGTAGGCGATAGAGCTGAGATTTGAACTCAGGCTTTCTGGCTCCTAAGCCCCCACTCTCATGTTTGTATCCTGGCAGAACCAGATGTAAACCCTTTAGAGTACTGCCTTATCCGTCTGGTTCATTGCTCCACCCCTCGCACCTAGCACAGAGCCCAGCACCTGGTGGTTGCAGGGACGGTACGCATACCTGAGTTTCCCCAAAGAGTGCTCCAAATTACGAATCTGAACTGCCTGATAAAGCTCTAAGATGAATGGGTTTTAGAGTCCCTGTTTTTCCTGACACCAAAGCCTCCCACTTCCAGTCCTGGACCCACCACACAGACAGCACCAATTTCATCCAAGAATAAAATCTGTTGCATAACCAGATGGCAGACATGGGGTGAATAGAGAAGCAACCTGTGAGTGCATTTGGCCACTCCCTGTCTCCAAAGGACAGCTCATAGAAAGAAGTTTTCATCTTTCTCTGAGCCTCCCTCGGCATACAAACTTTCCTTCGTCTCCTCTCGTTGGTGCTTTCTATATTTTATTTTATTTTGGTCGTGTGCATTATTTGATGTTACTATAGCAACGTGTCACCAGCTGGTATCACATAGTAATGTTGGCATTTAGGTAACAAGCTTCCGAAGTTGGGTGTTTCTCTCCCTCTACGATCTCATCACTCCTACTAATCTTAGGTGAGTGGGGGTTGCCTGAGCAACACCCATGCCCCTCACCCCTATTTTGTCTGTTTCCCAAGGCAGGGAAAACTGGTAGCCTTTTCCTCAGTTCACTTGGCATCGCAGGGGTCCTGGCTGTGGTGTGTGTGTGTGTGTGTATGTGTGTGTGTGTGTGTGTGTGTGTGTAGATGTGTTTGCATTAGAGGTTGTTAAACAAATATGTTTAAGTTGAATATTATACACTAAAACTATTGGCATTATCAATATGATTACGAAGATGATGATGACTTTTTTAATGGAAAAGAATGGAATGATTTGGGGAGAACTAATTTCCTGATCACAGTCACCTAGTATCCTAGCTAATTAATTTTGATCACACAATATTGGGTTTTTCTTTTCCTCCCTCGCCGTCACACAGTGAAGAAACCCTCACGCTTTTCCTTTGGAGCTTCCAAGTGTGCAAGAAAGACCTCCCTACATCCCGATGGGCTGAATTAATTAAGAGGATTGATCGTCTTGGATCACTGAGGAGGGTTCTATACAGCAAATAAGACCTGCCACTCAGGGTGTTAAGTAGCCCCTCATCAGCCAAGTGCCTGCAATGATTGCACTTATTTTTACACGTTTGACCTAGTTTCAAACAGTGTCTCTTCATGCTGTGATTCATTAGCCACATTTTAAACCACCCCAATTGGAGCGAGGTGACACTGCCTGGTTTGTGCCAGAGTCTCGGATATAATTTCTCTCTGGAATTTAATATGCAAGTCTCTCTGGAATTCTGTTTTAAGAAGCAATTTCCCATCCTGGCATGCTGCTTGGGTAAGGATGAGTGGCTGCCTCATTCCTAGGTAGTAAATATGTCGATTACAAAATTTCTGCCAGGGATGAAAAGAGGGGAATTCTTGCTAGTATGGAGACTACAAGGGATCCTTCCACCACTCTGTCCCCCATGCAGTATTCAGGCTTTTCCAGGTTTCTGACAAGACTGAGAGTTCGAGATCCTACACTATAAAGTTCGAGCAACATCTGTGTTAGGGCTAAGTTGCTAGGGCAAATGCAGTCTGATCATCCTCCATCCCCTATTCCTGTCTCCTTTTAAAAATTTAAGAATAGTAGACATGAAAGTAAGGTCTCAAACTTGTACAGAGGTGCAGGACACAAATACCATTTTGGGGGAAACTACTGAAAAAGAGACCCACATCAGAGAAGCAAAATGTTATTTCATTATTCTATTGCTATGTGACAAAGAGGTGGTTTTTAAAATCCAAATGACAGAAAGGAGACTTTTCTGAATACGAAGCCGCTGCTAGTGTCTCACTCCATTTCAGGTATCAATCAGTCACATTGGTGTGATTTCTCACAGACCTGATACCAAAGTGGGCTAGACACCATAGCAGAAAAAAAAAAAAAGATGCTTTTAGTTGGAGGTAAAACACTGTCATTTTTCATTAACAGCCAGATGCAGGTAACTTGTTCAAACTTCAGTCATATTGCACTACAAATCGTACTGAAAGGCATGCAACCGGGTTTTGCTACGTGGTAGTGAGAACTAAGAAATTAACAAGCTGGTAAAAGTAATTTTGATTGATCAGTGAACAACAACACGCCGACCAACTCCTAATAAAAAGATAATGGTTTCTTTCATAAAACAGCCACTCTCTCTAGATGGGGACTAGAATCCCCCTCCCTTTTTATCTTTTACAATGAAGAATGGAAGTTTCTCTAAACAAGGCTTAAGACAATGCATCCTTTTCAAGACAATTCCAGGCAACTTGAGATCCGCGGTTTGTTTTCTTTGCTTTTTTTTCCCCCTTCAAATTCAAATCAAGCCATTAGAAATAACAAGCATTCCAAATCTATGCATTTGGGGCAGCCTGCAGTTCTGACAATGGTGGATTTTTTCATTACATACCACCACACACACACACATACAAGCTCCCAGTCTCACTGTTCATTTAAGCCAAAGCTTTAAAAGTAAACTATTGTACAAGAGACGATCGTATTTTCTCTTAGAGGATCATCGATCATAAAAAATAAAACCTACCCACATCTCTTACCTTGAAGCAGTGGAATTACCTGCAGAGGATGGTCCCCCTTCCTTGTACAGTGAGCCAGGCTTTGACCAGAAGCAGAATTACTCCAAAAGAAGGAATAATAAGCCCTTTATATTGTAATTTTCACTGTTTATATGCAAGAAGTGTAGTGGGTCTGCTCACGTAGGAATAAATAAAAAGCCGAACAAACTGCTCGGCAGCTACCATGTGAAAAGAAAAGACCTCTAGTGGCCACAGGCTGAATTCTTTAAGGAAGGGAGAGGAGAGATGGAGGGAGCAGAGGAAACACACGCTCCTGTGTATGTGTGTGTAGATACACACACACACATATGCAGGTGCACATACATGCACATACACACACTCCTGTGTCCCTCAAATGCTGAGGTTTCTTCTTGCCTGCATTTGGCCTGGCTGTAGGTATAAACAATAATACTGGTCAATTCTTGATTTAAGTGGGAGCTGGTTAAATTAGCAGTGACCGTGGTGTTCCGTCTAGTTTAAAAGGAATAATTTCACACACTCACTACCACCCCCTGGAGGCCTGAGTAAGAAAAAGAATTAGACTCTGGATGTTCAAGGAGGTGCCACCCAGTGTAGAGGCTACAGGTTCCCATCAATAAAGCATCATCAGACATTGTCCCCTAGAGTCCCAGCTTTGCATTCTCTGCAGGATATGCATGTTTTCTAGGCATTTATGGTGGGCGGGTGTGGTGGTTACTTGGCAGGGAGGACCAGCTTCCTGGGTGTGTGACCCTCATAGTCACGCCAGGACCTTTGCTTAGAAGGGTTCCGTGGCTGTTTGAAATATCTGAATAATTTTAAGCAGGGGCTCTGCATTTTTACTTTGTTCTGGGTCCCACAAAGGACAACAAACGAGAATCTTTGGGGAGTGTAAGCTTAAGACACAGTTTTCCAAAAGGCTTCCTGTTTCTCTACCACTGGAATGAAGTTGTATACCTGGGAGGAAATATATACACATGTATGTGTACATTCAGGCGTATCTTGTTTTATTATGCTTCGCAGATACCTGCTTTTTTTTTTTTTTTTTTTACAAAGTGAAGGTTTGTGGCAACCCTGCATTGAGCAAGGCTATTGGCACCATTTTTCCAACAGCCTGTGCTCACTTTGTATCTCTGCATCATGATTTGGAAATCCAAGCAGTATTTCAGATTTTTGTCATTATTATTATACCTGTTACGGTGATCTGTGATCAGTGACCTTTGATGTGATGTTGCTATTATAATTGTTTTAGGGCACCACAAACAAACTTCACTATGGAAAACCTCACTGTTGTCTGTTTTTAAGAAACTGCCACAGCCGCCTCAGCCTTCAGCAACCAACACCCTGATCAGTCAGCAGACATCGGCATCAAGGCCAGACCCTCCCCCATCAAAAGGATTACTATTTACTGAAGGCTCAGATGATTGTTAGTATTTTTTTAGCAATAAAGTACTTTTAAATTAAGGTTTATGTTCTCAAAATAAAGTGTATTTTTTAAAACATAATGCTATTACATACTTAATAGACTACAATATAGTGTTGACATAACTTTTATATTCACTGAGAAGCCAACAAGCTCATGTGACTAGCTTTATCGTGATACTCACTTTATTGTGATTGTCTGGAACCAAACCCACAATATCTTCAAGATATGCCTCTATATATTTCATATATGTTATTTTATTAATAAAAGGAGAAGTTTTTTAGAAAAAGGCAGCAGTTTATGATAAAAATGCATTTTTTTTTCGGGGGTTCAAACGTAATACTTCCAGCCAGGCCATCTTGCACAAGCCCATGCTTGGCAGACCACAGTGGAACTTCATTTGGCCAAGATGGCAGCCGTAGTGGAAACTTGAAAGGGACAATCAAGAATGACTTCTCACCCTTGGTGGATTAGTGGGCAGTTCTTTATTTACCAGGTTCCAGAATAGATCTCCCTGAATCCTGCTTGCAAACACAGAAAACTCACCCTGATACGGACTGATACAATCTGGGAAAGAGGAAGCAGAAAAGGCTCTACTGATGTCTTAACCTTAGTAGAGTCTCCTCTGCCCCCAGGGTCTCCTCTCCATGTCCCTGCTTTGATTTCCCTCTTGTTTGAATCTTCCTGGTACTTAGTTGGCTTTGCAGATTGAGGGTCTTACTCTTTTTCTCTCATGGATTGATCTTTCTTTCCCAACTAGACCATGAACTCACAAAGAGCAAGGGCCATCTCTTCTCATTTCTTTCATCCCTCTCAGCCCTTACCAAGTGCCAGGCCAACCCAGTAGGTACTGAGTTGCCACTGGCTGATTCATGGTGATCCAACTACAGATTCCTCTGCAGAGAATTGTAATGTATTTCAAGGTGCTAAAGGAGCCACCTGATGCTTTCGATACTCCTCTAGGGTTAGATTCAGATGAATTATTGCCCTACTTGACAGATGAGACAATTGGGACTTACACATGTAAAATTATTTGTCATAAAATGAAACTGTCTTCATGACTTTGATATAGGCTGGATTTCTTGACACAAGTACAGTGCTCTTTCCTCAGTGTGCGAACAGCAGGGGATGTAATGGATCAGGTGTTACCTTTATGTTTGGCACTCCCATTACAGTCCCAGGCACATAGTAGTATTCAGTAAACACTTTTTTAATCAATGAGCCATAAGGAGCCATTTTCTCACAGGGACGTTTCCCATGGTCCTCTCTCCACCATTTATGGCATTTTTCTTCATTTCTTGCAGAGTCACTTTGTGGCCTGTATGACGGCCATCTTAAACCAGATGGGTGACCAGCACTACTCCTTCTACATTGAGACCTTCCAGACCAGCTCTGAACTTGTGGTGAGTCCGTAGGATAAGAACTCTTCCATCTCTGGAACATGCCTCTGTCCATGTCAGAGAGACCTGAATGTCTATCACATAATCTAGATATGACTTAACCAATGTTTGTTGATGAATCACAGACAGTTTGGGGTTGAAGAGCGTGACTGCTGGAATCACACAGTCTTAGGTTTGCATCTAGGATTTGTCACTTGCCAGCTGTGTGACCATGGGCAGGCCAATCACCCTTAAGCCTCAGTTTCCCCATTTATAAAGTAGGGATAATATCATTTGTGTCATAGGATTAAGAAGGGGTTACACGAGAACACAATAGCTCTTATGTAGTAAATGCTCAGTAAAATATAGCTCTTATTAAGATCACAAACACCTAGAGGAAGTTGGCCTCTGGACCCCCTTCTTCTAGCCTCTCAGGATGCATTTGTTGCAAGACAATCTGCCCGTGGCCTGTGGCTTCTATCTCTACAGCAGATGACCTCATTAACATAGAGCCCAGCCCAGGCTGGCTGTTCCTGCCCCAAGGGTGGAGCAAAGTACCTGTTGCCCTCAGCGTTGTCACCCTTCTCACTGTCTCTTTGCAACCAGGTTCAGGAGTCTCACTTCTTGAGGTCACTCTCAACTCTCCCTGGAGAGATGAGATAAACCTCAGAGAGAGGCTCATAAAAAAATGAATCATTAGAAAGCCAATGCCCTACCCCTTCATCCATTCAGTAATGAGATGTTCTCTCCATTGGAGTAAGATTGGCAAGAAGTGGAACCTTTCACTCACCCTTCAACTTCCCTGTATCTTAAGACATGGAAAGAGAAAAACTGCACTCCTAATTTTTGATCCTCTATAGAAGGAAAGGTTTCTGGGGGAAGAAAGTAAGAAATGGAATTCTTATTGATTGAACATAATACATTTTCTTACATAACCCTCACAAAAGTCTGACATAGGAATTAGGAGTCACATTTCACAAGTCTACGGTCTGCTTGCTCAAGGTCCGATAGCTAGTATGTGGTGGAGGTAAGGTCTGGACTTCGACTGTAATCCTTATACAGTGTTGCCTCTTCTCATTAAGAAGCTACTCTTCCCATCTGTGAGCCAGGGGTGATCTTCATTTCCATAGGAAGGGGATGTGCCTGTGATGATATCCACACTTTCCCAGGTGACATCAAGTATGCATAATATAATAACACTCACCATTATCATCATCAGGTAATGAGAATTTGTAAGAGGCCAGGGCTGCACTCAGCCTCTGATTGGCAGTATGCACTTCGTCCTCACAGTGACCCTTTGAAGTAGATATTATCCCCATTCTGCCGACGTGGAAACTAGGGCTCACAGTATTGAGGTAGTTTTCCCTAGCAACAAAGATTGCTGGAAAGGAACAAGTGCCATTTCTAGAATTTTGCAATTTAGCTTAAAACAGTAATTTTCAAATTGTGTTCCTCCTGTCCTCACTCTGCTTTACCATAAACATGCACACACACACACAAACACACACACACACACACACACACACACACACACGCAATTCCACCAGAGCTGTTTTACATTTATATATTTTATATATTGGGTTCCAGGTAAGCCTTCCTTTGAACAAATAATTCTGCTGTTAAAATAATTTGAAAACCACCGACTTAAGGAAACAACTCTGAACCGATTTCCTATAGATTTTAAATTTTGCCTAAAGCACCCTGGTGGTATGACTTCATTACCTCCAGCTCAAAAGGGTCTCAGCGACTGTGGTTCTGATCTTAGCTATCCAGATTTGTCTTTAATTTGTGTTCTCCAAAGATGGAGAAAAAGTTTGGCTCACTGCAAAATCTACTGGAGGGTGCTGAAGTCCACTTCAGAGGAAGAATTTCTTTCACTGTGTCTCCTCTAATCTGCTCGTCTGTGCGTGTGTGTGTGTGTGTGTGTGTGTGTGTGTGTGTGACACATATGAATTAGCTGCATTTACAGCACTACTAATTAGATGTTCATTTTAATAGGAGTTTGTTTGCTCAATGACCTGAGATGCTTTTATATAGTGTAGATTATTTCCTCCTCAAATACATATTTGGGAAAATGATGATAAAATTGCCACATCAATGAGTATTTACTTCTTTATTCCCAAAGATGGAATTAATAGTGCTTTATTTTGAGAGCATTTTCACATTCCATATTCATGTTCCACTGATATTTGGGAAGCACTATCCCAGCATTCAACTTTTAAGCTTCCATTTAATTTAGTTAATGGAAGGCTGTATCCCTTCCCTTTTCCTCCCTCTAAAATGTAATGCAGAAAAAAATGGAAAGAGGCAACAAACTCCAAGTTCTTTTAAAACAGGATGATATGTGTGTTGTGCTTCACTGTTTCAGGACTTCCTGATGGAGACCTTTATCATGTTCAAGGACCTCATTGGGAAGAACGTGTATCCTGGAGACTGGATGGCCATGAGCATGGTTCAAAACAGGTGAGCTGCTACTTGCTTCCATGAAGCTGCCTTACCCAGGCTTCACTTTAAAGATCACTTATTTAGGGTTAAGATAGGGTTAAGGGGGTTAAGGGACAATTTCTTCCTGCTGAAAAGAAATTAAAGTGTTAAGGCATCCTTTCTTTCTATCTTGAAGCCCAGGGAAGTATGCCTCACCAATCTTGAAGCTACTCAAAAAGTCCTCCCC